GAGAGAGAGAGAGAGAGAGAGAGAGAGAGAATATTTAAAACAATATTTACTGTTATACTTTATAACTTATGGCACAATATTCTGTAAATTCATTTAAGAATTGTTTGATTTATAATACATTTGATTTAAATATATAATTAATTTTATAGTTAAGTAAAATCTATTTTCTGTATAAACTTATAGTTATATTAAGGAACTATTGGCTTACGTTTAATTGATTTAACAGTGATTTTTAAAATGCATTTTAATTCTATGCAAAATTATTTTGTAAATAAGAAAATAATGTGTTTCACCAAAAACAATGTCTATTTCAGTATAGATTTGCATTAAGTTTTATATTAAATTATAAGTTATTTATCAAAACCTATAGAATATTCTTTATAATGAATATTGTTTTTAAAATAACAAACATTTTTGATATAATTATGTAAATGACTAGAAATATGGGAAAATAGGAGGAGTGAAGGGCTGGGAAAGAGTGGGTTAAGGTTTTGGTTGTAAATAACTTCCAACACATCAAACAAATAGTTTAGTTTATAAATTGTAAAAAACAAAAAATTATTAGTTAAACAAAACAAAAAAAGTTATTTACTGTTATCAACAATAATTATAATCAATGCACAAAATTAGCCAAAAAGTAGTCATTGAAATAAACGATAAGGTGTTCACAAAAAATGATAAAATTGTTGTCATATAATGAATATAATTGTTTTAATTAGCGAATGGATGGATAAATAAAATGATAAATTTTATATTGCATTTTGCGATATATTCTATAATAATTATATGTATATATATTTATATTAACTTTATATATATTTTAATAACACATTTCATTCACATTTATATAACGATTCTTGAAATCATTTTCAGAAAAACTTTTTTCAACATTAGTTTGTAATTTTTTGTTTTAAATTTAGGCACTTTTATGTTTGTATGAATTCTTTTATACACAAAATATAGTGAATAACAAAAAAAGAGAGAAATAATATCAATATATTAATCGTATGGATCATTGGGTGCTGTTTAGCACCCGATAACACTCCGACAGCTGCACTCCGAAGGGCGGTTCCGGTTTCGGCCGTTTTGTTCACATGAGGTATACCTCCGAGAGATTCTGTGCATTCATTTCGTTCTCAATACATATCTCTATATATATAGTGTTTGTCTCTATGTTTACAATAAGTTAGATCTGGTCTGTTGTAGGGATGGATTGGTTGCCATAACTTTGTTTACAAAGTTAACGATAGCAGAGGCCGGTTGGTCGGCGTCGAACTCGGCGAACACGTGGCACTGGTTGTCAGTTTTGCTGCCCGTTTTACGCGCAACGAATCCAAAGCATATACTGTTGAATATTTTCGNTGTTGTAGGGATGGATTGGTTGCCATCACTTTGTTAACAAAGTTAACGATAGCAGAGGCCGGTTGGTCGGCGTCGAACTCGGCGAACACGTGGCACTGGTTGTCAGTTTTGCTGCCCGTTTTACGCGCAACGAATCCAAAGCATATACTGTTGAATATTTTCGATAATATTAAAGAATATTCTCAATATATGAACACAGAATTGTCTGAACATACCATTCACCGGATGGCACAGGGATTCCCTCGAACTGATGCTTCCATTGCCTACAATCGGGATCTATTCCACAGAAACTAATCGATATCAACGGATAGTGGCGTCGGAAGAATAGTCTGTTGTAAAAATTATAAAAAGTTTGTTAATTATAAAACTCATAAAATTTCAATAATTTCTAATATTTGTATCATTTAATGATATTCTCTCTAAAATAACAAACCTGTGATTGTTGTCCGTAAGAGTGACCCCTTTATTGGACACTTTGAAGTGAACAACAGTAGGCATGGGTTGGGGTCTCATTGCCATCAATTCTTTAATGGCTTTTCGCAGTGCTTGAGGTCCTGTCAACGATTCCATGTCCACAGTAACCAAATACAGTACATTACATGCGGCGCCTTCTGATAGGATATTGGCCGGCGATTCCGTTCCCAAACTGCTTATGATTGAGTCCACAGTTGGCTCACCGGACGGATCCGAATCCGGTATAATTAGTTTGCACGGGAGAGCCATCGGTGTAACTGAGTGTTGATATACGAGCGCAGACAGACTGCCAAACGTCGGTTCATTGGGACAGCCCTTAAGTCTAACCCCTTTAGGCGTGGGTTCAATGAGGAAATGACGGACTAATTCGCTGGATATGTCACCTGAAAGTGATTAACAAGTGATGAGTTGACGCCACCATAAAGACAGATATGTTGGTCACCGCAAAACATACCTGTTTTCGTTTGGACATTAGGCGGCGGTGTAGCGACTTTGAGCGCCAATCCAAAAGCACCCGGAAATGAGTGACTGTCCCGTACTATGAAAGTGCCGCTCTGTTTGTCTCGCAGTATATTTATAGCTAAACAACACAATTGATTGCTTTAATGATATTGTCATTAATAGTATAAACTGATGGTAAATACCTTCTTCGCGAGATATGTTTGGTTTATACCAATAACTGGAAGTGTCTCTAATGAATATCGGGGCCTGTGTTATGACCTCCGACTCGTTGAGGGATAATAGGCTCGACCTCTGGGACTGACCGTAATATACAGAACCCGCGGGCGATTCGGGCTGAGAGTCTCTGCTCTGGTTTTGTCCATTCATATATTGGGGGCTTTGAGTTCCCTTCCTATCAGTAAATGATTTACAAGAATATTATTATCGGTTATTAACTAATAAATAATTTTTAAAATTAAAAATATAACTGTAATTCGTTTACATTTTTATAAAACACAAAAAATATTATATTTAACAAAACTAAATGAAAAAACACATATAAAACAAAAATTAGTAAAGAATTGATTGAAAAACTTAATGTATAACTAATTCACGCGAACGACGAGAAGAATAAGTTATGAAATGAGCGTTAAAATTGTTTTAACTGAAAAGGTTAACAATTAATGAATATGCGTACCCATACCCACACCTCCCACACCTACAGCACACAGGGCTGTCAGACCAACGATTGTGATTACATTGAAGTGATGTATAATTAGGACACAGAGAATGCCTTTTAATAAATAGTAGATGCAGTGAAAGAGTAGAAAATGTTAGACTTTTCTGATAGCTATTAGGCGTTAGTACAAGAATTGTCTGTTGTTTAGTTCATTCAAACATTAAACAATTATATGAACAGAATTTGCATTTTATATTTACAAAAATGATTAGAAAAATGAATACATACCTAAATAGTGGTGGACTTCTGTTGAGTGATTGGTTGACATACGGTGTGCCCGGAATTATAGGGAATCCTGGGGTCTCCGGTCGGTCAGAGTTAGGACTACTACTACTTACAAATGACGGCGACCAAGAAGTCGGTGCTTCAACGGTAGCGCTCTGTAAAAATGCAGTCAAACGATCACATCTTGTAATCAAATGGCAAAGAGAAGGAAGAAATAACTTTTTGGTGGAAATAGTACTGACTTTATAGGAAGGAGTAGAGTGTTTGGGTCGCACAGAATCCACTTCATCGACAGCCTGTGTCTGCATAAGGAGGCCATCCCTGGCGTTAGGCATATAGACGTGATGTTGACTATAAGGATAGACAGTTCCGTAGAGCGACGACGAGGCGGCTATTTGTTGCGGTGTTGGCCGCGCGGAGTCATCGCCCGACATATGGTGTTGGGCCGTCTGGTGTGCCCTCTGGACGGCCACAAACGGCCGCTCCCTGTCGTACGAGTTGTCAGACTTTTGGCGCTGAAGCGGACGTTCGGGTGTTTGCCACACATTTTTACTGGACGTTCGCTCCGGGATTTGGGGTGATGTGGGAGTGCTGGCCCTGTAAGCGGTCGACGACTTGCCATTAGTGTTGATGTGTAGGGGCTGTGAATAGGGTGGCGATGACTCTCTAGATGACGAGTCTTGCGATGGGATCCGTTTGGCCACACTCTTCAGCTCTTGCATCAGGCGCTGCTCTTTCCAGTGCCGTTCGCGCATACCCTGTCCCTCGTGTTTGTTCTTAAGCTTCATTTGTTGCCTCTGAAGCCAAGTGAGAGGAGTCCCGTCTTCGCTGTACGTCTCCTGATATGAAGACGAGGCGTAATCGCTGAACACGTCGTCAATGTCTGGCCGTATGTCGCGGTCGTCGGCCACCGCTTTTGGCACTAAATTTTCGGTCACATAAGCGGTCGATTCGGAGAACACTCGACGGCGTTGAAGGGCCGGCGAGTTGGCGGTCACGCCGTACGAAAAGGGCTGACTGCCCGGCGGTGTCCGATACGGCTTCTTGTCGTCCGAACTGCTTTGCGATATGGGTTTCGTCAGGAATCGGGTTTGGATTACGTCTGGACTAGTGGTTTGGCCACCGCTTGGGTTCCCGCCATTCATGAACAGAGCTTTCGGTGACATATAATCGCTTTGCCTAACGCTGGGAGTAGTGGCGGTCGGCGTACGTGATATCGACGAGTATTGATGAGCGCTGGGCGACGAGTCCTGACTCGTGACTGAACTGGTTTTGCGTCCAGTGGTGGCACTCGGATGGTCTGGAAACGACTGTATCTGCTCCAGCATTCCGCTCAATAACTCATCCAAATCCTGCTGCTCTTGAGTGGAGGGCCTGTTATGATGTCTGTCGTCGCCGTTCTGGTGATGAACTTCCACCTCAACAACATTGATAGGAGAGGGGTATCCACTGGAACCGCCGCCGTTCGTATGGCCTCCGTGTCCGGGATTGTGATGATGAGGATTACCCGAAACGGTGGACGATATGCCGGAGTCTATGCTGACTGTGTGCGGGCCGTCATCGCTGGCGTTGTCAGCGGAGCCGCCATTACTCGGCAGCGAGAAAGTGACCGGAGATTTCTTACTGACCGGAGGTTTGGCAACAGTGGCGTAAAGGCTGCCATCGATTGGGCCGTAAGTGTGGGACGGATTGTTGAGTTCGGCGGCGAACGCGTCCAATAGTGGGTCGGGTTTGTCTTCGGGCGCCAAATCAAAGTTCTCATAGGAATCCCATTTGACAATTGAGTCGTGAAGGGCCTCATCGATGACGGGAGTAATGGCATCACTAAGTGATCCGTTTTGCGGTCGAAAGTCACCCGAAGTTTTAAATAAGAACTCAACGAAACCCTCGGTCGGGAACCGATGGTCAGCCATAGCGTCGTCCAACTCATCCTTATTGAAGACAAGCCGGTCGTGTTCTAGAGTGCAGGTATGGAATTGTATCCGGAATATTGAATCCCTTCCCGGCGTTTGTCTTCTGTGGTAACACTTGATTAGTATATCGCCTCTCATCTGAAGACTCGGATTCAATAAAATAAATATCCGTTTCGTTCGACTGTCGGAAGAATAAATGCCAGTCCTGTGTATGGTTTGCATTCCTTGGTATATCTTGAGGAATGGCCGACAGCCGCCTCTTTGGTCATAGTTTGGTATCCCATGAATGATAATGTGGTGAAGAAATAGTGGGCTGTTATTCATTTTGATTCCACCAGAAAGTAGTCCAGAAAAGTATTGTATATATCTGTGAATCAAATTCAAGAATATTTGTAACATTTAAACGGCATTAAGACTCTCTCCCTCTTTATAGTAAATGATAATATTTTTCTTTTAGTTCTCAATTTCTGTGAAAAATAAATCTAATATTTAGTGCTTTTCACTTCAAATAACATTCACATAACACATACGTCTGTATCCNCTCTCTCTCTCTCTCTCTCTCTCTCCTGGTTTTTGTACGTGACATACCTTTTCTGTGATGGTTGCATGTATTGATCCAATTTATCATCGTAAAATCGTTTCATAGCAAACCGGTCGAGCGCCTGGTCAGCGGTGGCACAGATATCTGTGTAGTGCATAAAAGCCGCGATCACAACACCGGTCCGGCCGTTGTCGCCCTTCGAGTGGATGACCGCCACGTGTTGTCCGTCACACGTGAGCCACGAGTCGATGGCTTTGCAAATAGCGCACAGACGCTCCAGAGGTGGGGCCAGATTGTGGTGCCAACCGAACTCCATTATATTTGGATTGAGCTTGTTCAAATCGTGGCGCCGTTCGCTTAGATTAAACACCATGTATTTGCTCTTGTGTTTGGTGCGCAACATCTGCACCACGTCTTTCAAATTGGCCCGATATGTGCCACTCGTTCCCGAGTCGGGAAATGTGAGGGCTGTTCACCAGTCGTGTAGAATATATCCCACATTGAGAGTAGAAATGTATAATTTTATGAATAATGTTTTCCACCATTTATTGCACATAAAAAGTTTGTGATAACACTTATAATTGATGATAAAGTCATACCAATAATCCTTTCGGTAACGTATGTCATATCCATCACGAATGGGTGATATGTCGATGACTTTCCTAATAAATGAATCGTTCGAATCGATCGCTTGTCGTCAAGAAGTGAATGTTTGGTCAATTGTGGATCAATTGAATGGTAGGCCGGACTTAAAGCGTATGGCGAATGGCTTAAGGGCTCGTTATTCTGCATAATAAGTAGATTTTTGGGATTAATATAAAGAATCAGTTATTTTTATGTGTCATCGATGGTTATAAATATTAATGAAAAAAAATCAAGAATAATAATAACTTTTTCAATACATCTTCGAAACGATTATTTTTAGGCAAACATAAAAATATACATTTGTTTTAAATAATATATGAAATACAGTTAAAACATATCGCATGAAAATGCAATGAATATCCAATTCCTGGTACTTATGGCTAATTTACTGGCCATTAGGTCAAGGATACAGACGTATGTGTTATGTGAATGTTATTTGAAGTGAAAAGCACTAAATATTAGATTTATTTTTCACAGAAATTGAGAACTAAAAGAAAAATATTATCATTTACTATAAAGAGGGAGAGAATTACACTTAAAAACGCACCAATTTTTTTCTGTCTCTCTCTTACGACTAAACTTTGGTATAATATAAATAATATCGTGTATTATCTGAAAAATATTTAAGTATCACTAAGTCTTATAGCCGTTTATCTAATCAAAAAGTCATAGCGTATAATAAATTATGTAAACCTTAACTGTTGCTGTTTATTAGATATACAGTAATACATGTATTTTCAATAATAATAATACAATATACTATTGTATGAGTGTATGTGCCTTGAAATTTCACCTAATTCTGTGCAAAACAAACCGCTTATATATACTGACAAATATTTATTTATTATTCAACAGAATTATGTTTACGTGTGTTTTGTTGTGCACTTCTGGACATAAGTTTGTGATCTCAATATCTATCGAGAAATTTGAACCAAAAATAATTTGTTTCTATTTTTTTGTTTAGTCGAGAATTTTTAAGTAGATTTCAGACTTATAATCAGGAATTCCGGTTGAATTATATAAATAGACAAATAAATGAATTTTTAAAGTATATTAATAGCATTGGGAATGAATGAACATTTTTAAGGAATTTAACAAAAACACAGCATATTTTTGATGGCTTTTAAACAAATGTTTATATAATTCATGAAAGGATTCTTTAACCGAATCTTTGGTCTTAATATAGAAATAAGGAGTTTATATATCGGCGAATGGATTACATGTATGACCTAAATGTAGCGCAACAGTGGGTTGGGTGCGAACACTATTGGGATGGCTATAGAAGTGATATTCATATATTGATATATGTGTATATAAACACTCAATTTATAGCAAATTTCTATTTATTTATTGCAAAATTTTGAGCCGAGATTTGTTAGATGTTTATGTAAAGAAAATTATGTTTTAAACGTATGCATAAAATATAGTCATATTTGGATAGCAATTGCCGTATGAGAAGCAAATACAGACTCATATTAATCACTGCACTGTATAATAAGGAAGTTGTGGCAAACATTGCAACATATCGTCCGCCGGTGCGATACTTAAGGCTTACAATAATAATAACATATATTTCACTATACGGTTAGTCCTTAACTCAAGTTTAGAAAATACAGTATATATCGCACACAGGAATTGGGGGACAAGGGCTGGGGTCTGGTATGTGAGGCCGAGGGTCGGGTAGAGTGGGTAGAGTGGGTGGTCTCACTCTTTAGCCAATTTGTTATGAGGAGAGTAACAAACGTTTGGAAAATGAGTTTTTAAAATATTCAACTTTTCTCTTTTCTGGTGCCTCACAGAGAAAATGAGACAAATGTTTGCCACAACAAAATATGCAAACCATGTTGTGTTGCGTAAGATAATTGTCTTTGTAATGTAGTGCCTGACCCCGGAGTTGCTTCAAATACCATTTACTCGCACATTATTAACCATTTTTTGGTAGTGAATAGTTGCGAAAAACGATGACATTTATGGTTTTAGTGCGAATATTCAAGTAATAGCACAGGATCTCTGTCTTAGAGGACTTTTCTTCATATACTGTACTTACATAATAAATGAGCAAAATTTGCATAAATAAGGAGTAAAACTGTGTGCATAAGAAAAGTTGAAGAGTGTGTAGGGATGGGTAATATCTCGGGCTCTTTGCCAACAAATGTTTGCTTATTGTTTAAATAACAACTCACACACAGCCTCTCTCTCTCTCTCTCTCTCTCTCTTCATAGGACCTCTTATTTTTTGGTCTGGTATGTGAGGCCGAGGGTCGGGTAGAGTGGGTAGAGTGGGTGGTCTCACTCTTTAGCCAATTTGTTATGAGGAGAGTAACAAACGTTTGGAAAATGAGTTTTTAAAATATTCAACTTTTCTATTTTCTGGTGCCTCACAGAGTAAATGAGACAAATGTTTGCCACAACATAGAAAATATGCAAACCATGTTGTGTTGCGTAAGATAATTGTCTTTGTAATGTAGTGCCTGACCCCGGAGTTGCTTCAAATACCATTTACTCGCACATTATTAACCATCTTTTGGTAGTGAATAGTTGCGAAAAACGATGACATTTATGGTTTTAGTGCGAATATTCAAGTGATAGCACAGGATCTATGTCTTAGAGGACTTTTCTTCATATACTGTACTTACATAATAAATGAGCAAAATTTGCATAAATAAGGAGTAAAATTGTGTGCATAAGAAAAGTTGAAGAGTGTGTAGGGATGGGTAATATCTCGGGCTCTTTGCCAACAAATGTTTGCTTATTGTTTAAATAACAACTCACACACAGCCTCTCTCTCTCTCTCTCTCTCTCTNAGAAAAGTTGAATATTTTAAAAACTCATTTTCCAAACGTTTGTTACTCTCCTCATAACAAATTGGCTAAAGAGTGAGACCACCCACTCTACCCACTCTCTCTCTCTCTCTCTCTCTCTCTCTGACAGTTCTTCGCTAACGTTAACCTAAAACTCCCAAATGTAAACATTTAGGAAAATTTTTACTTCAACTTATTTTCCCGGTATATATAATCATAATAATAGATGTCATAAAGTTTAGGATATAATTAAACTCTCAGTACTTTTAGATGTTATGTCTTAATAGTAATGGCAAACCATTTGGTGTGTATTGGGTTCTCCCGGAAAAACAAAGTTTTAGTTAAAACTTTTAATGTATTAAATGATATGGTATATGATATTTGTTGTTATAAAATCAAATTATATTTATTTAAACATTATTCAAACGATTCTCGTTTCATTTCGTTAATTATAACACTATTTTATATGAATTTTAAAATAATATGCAATAAAATCTGACAAATCATTACAACTAATGATAACAGAAATGTAATATTGTTTAAAACAAGACTTTTAAGGAATTATTGTAAAAATAAAGATAATATACAAAAATCCTATTAAATAAACAACAGCTACTAATTGTGTGAATTACAGCAGAGTTGTAAAAAATAATCATTATTACAATTATTATTATTTAATTAATAAAATAATTTAGTTTTTTACTATCAAATTCATTGCCGAATTAGTCAATCATATAAAAACATTACTAACATATGATTACAAACATGTGTTACAAAATTTACAATTCATTTGATTACAAGTAAAAATTGTATTTATTATAATAATGATGGTTTTGCGAACACAATTCCTGACACACAGAATACGTGATATTTATCGTAAAATTCCTTTACATTTCGAGATCACTAAATAAATAAAATTATATTAAAATACTTTTGTATAGAATTTATAACATTTAAGTTATTTGTTTGCTATTCATAACCGTCAAAATTGTGATTAAATTTGGATGAGTTTCAGAAGATTTTCAATGAAAGTGTTAATTATATTTGGTATACAAATGTAATCATTATTTTTCATTAGTTTATGTAAACATCAATGAAAGAGACAGTTATTAATAATTCAATATATATTTCATTTGAAAACAACTGATGAAACGTGTAATAGATATACAAATTCTTACCAAAACTGTTACATTTGAAACGTTTGCCTTAATAATAGGTGTCAATGGTTTAGGTATAGCTTTTATATCAGGTCTCGATTCAGATTCTGAATCAAACGCCTGTTTGACTCTTGTCTCTGATTCCTATGAGAAAAGAATGAGAAGAGATTTGTTTGGATTGAAGAATATTTTTATATAAATACACAAAACAAGTGTATTAGAGATTAGTATCAAAATTGTGTCTCATTAGTAGCGAGAATTCAAACGACAAAACATATTGAAAGGCATTACAATTTATTGCGATATTTTCAAAGCAACGATCAAACAGATAGCGTGAAAATGCAAACACAACTACTGTCTACAAAATTAGTGAACAATCCGTTAAAATTTATTTTTCATTCCTTCAGTTTATAGACTAAACATTTATATTTGCACTGTTTATGGGAGAGAAGATCGGCAAACGTAGTTTACTCAACTGTAAATATATTTAAGTATCGATATCTGTACTGTGCACTTTAGTTATGTATCGTCTTATATACTCAAATAAAAAAGTTGTTTTTTGTAACACAAGAGTAATTTTTAGTATTCACTTTTCAAAAATACAATTTTAAATTTAAAAAAAAAATATTTATTATTTTAACCCAACTTTTGTGTCGCTTTTAAAGCAATTTTAAAAGCAATACATGTGTTTTGAAATATACTTATACTGTATTTTAATGACATTTTGGATAAAATATTAAAATTATTTGAATCCGTATTTGAAGAAAATATTAAATAAAATGCATTTCTATTAAAATTTTTCTTTCATATAAAGTCTCAGCAGAAAATAGACGTATAATGAATGACATGTCTAATGAAATGCAGAATCTATTCAATACATACTAATTAATATTTCAAATACTTTGTAAGGCTTTAAAGTAAAGTGAAATTAAATAATAAAAACAAAAAATATTCAAAGAATGATAATCTTAAGAGTTTTACGATTTTTGTCTTGCCGTTTGCATCAAATGAGTTGACATTTATATAAATTCATAGCTATAGACATGACACGTGAAATCAATACATAGCAGAATATATGAGTTTATTTTTTCAACAAAAAACATTGTGTTCTCATTAAAAAGTATTCACTTTTCAAAAATACAATTTTAAATTAAAAACAAAGAAAATATATATTATTTTAACCCAACTTTTGTGTCGCTTTTAAAGCAATTTTAAAAGCAATACATGTGTTTTGAAATATACTTATACTGTATTTTAATGACTTTTTGGATAAAATATTAAAATTATTTGAATCCGTATTTGAAGAAAATATTAAATAAAATGCATTTTTATTAAAATTTTTCTTTCATATAAAGTCTCAGCAGAAAATAGACTTATAATGAATGACATGTCTAATGAAATGCAGCATCTATTCAATACATACTAATTAATATTTCAAATACTTTGTAAGGCTTTAAAGTAAAGTGAAATTAAATAATAAAAACAAAAAATATTCAAAGAATGATAATCTTAAGAGTTTTACGATTTTTGTCTCGAATAGTGAAGAGTATAACAAAAATTTTATGTAAAATTTTAAACACTATTTTATGACAAGAATTTGCGAAAGATATGTATATTTTGTTTAGTGTTTATAACTCTTATGGAAAATATATTCAATTCTCTCATTAATTACTGTTTAAATCGTTATTCATTTTAAAAATAAAATACTTGTGAAGCGCTTTTGAAAATTGAATTCAAATAAATATATATTTTTCTAAATCTCTTTCTATTTATTTATTTTTCTTTTGAACAAATGAATCAAATTTAATGGCAAACCGTTTGACAGCAAAATTTTAAAATCGCGTCAAAATAAGTGTTTCTCTCAATACATCTCTCGCTTTATAAAAGACACCCAAAGAAACAAATCTCTCGATAATTATAAAACTGAGAATTCATTGCATTTAATAAAATTCAATGAAAATATTTGTCGGAAACTTTTTTCAACATTTTCTCTTTCTCTCGCCTCTAATCTATGGCTCAGATCGACGTGTTTTCTCTATGCATACAATTCATTCAATAATGCATTTGAATGTATGTCTGCTTTATCTCAATGCATATTCTCGACGACTAGTTTTGATTGCCAGCGAAAAAGGCAGTGAAAAATAAGAGGTCCTATGAAGAGAGAGAGAGAGAGAGAGAGAGAGAGAAAATGTTGAAAAAAGTTTCCGACAAATATTTTCATTGAATTTTATTAAATGCAATGAATTCTCAGTTTTATAATTATCGAGAGATTTGTTTCTTTGGGTGTCTTTTTAAAAGGCATTCATTCATATTATCTTCTTTTTGTGTTTTTATAGGAATGTCTTTTTTATTTCAAACGAAATGAAAAATATTATACCAATTAAACTATAAGCGTAGGCGAGAGAGAGAGAGAGAGAGAGAGAGAGCCGAGAATGCAATTGAAGCAAAAATTGAAGCACATGTAGCCTCTAAATGAGGCATTCATTTAATGTCTGTGAGCTCTTACAGTCCAAACTT